CGGACACCAAAAGAAAGCTGGGGTGGCAATCCTTATATCAGACAAATTAGATTTTAAACCAAAGACTGTAATAAGAGATGAGGAAGGACACTATATCCTACTTAAAGGATCTATCCAACAAGAAGATCTAACAATTGTAAATATCTATGCCCCTAACATGGGAGCAGCCAATTATATAAGGCAATTAATAACAAAAGCAAAGAAACACATCGACAACAATACAATAATAGTGGGGGACTTTAACATCCCCCTCACTGAAATGGACAGATCATCTAAGCAAAAGATCAACAAGGAAATAAAGACTTTAAATGACACACTGGACCAAATGGACTTCACAGACATATTCAGAACATTCCACCCCAAAGCAACGGAATACACATTCTTCTCTAGTTCCCATGGAACATTCTCCAGAATCGATCACATCCTAGGTCATAAATCAGGTCTCAACCGGTACCAAAAGATTGGGATCATTCCCTGCCTATTTTCAGACCACAATGCTTTGAAACTAGAACTCAATCACAAGAGGAAAGTCGGAAAGAACTCAAATACATGGAAGCTAAAGAGCATCCTACTGAAGAATGAATGGGTCAACCAGGAAATTAAAGAAGAATTAAAAAAATACATGGAAACCAATGAAAATGAAAACACAACTGTTCAAAATCTTTGGGATGCAGCAAAGGCAGTCCTAAGAGGAAAGTATATAGCAATACAAGCCTTTCTCAAGAAACAAGAAAGGTCTCAAGTACACAACCTAACCCTACACCTAAAGGAGCTGGAGAAAGAACAGCAAATAAAGCCTAAACCCAGCAGGAGAAGAGAAATCATAAAGATCAGAGCAGAAATCAATGAAATAGAAACTAAAAGAACAGTAGAACAGATCAACGAAACTAGGAGCTGGTTCTTTGAAAGAATTAACAAGATTGATAAACCCCTGGCCAGACTTATCAAAAAGAAAAGAGAAATGACCCAAATCAACAAAATCATGAATGAAAGAGGAGAGATCACAACCAACACCAAAGAAATACAAACAATTATAAGAACATATTATGAACAACTCTATGCCAGCAAATTAGATAACCTGGAAGAGATGGATGCATTCCTAGAGATGTATCAACTACCAAAACTGAACCAGGAAGAAATAGAAAACCTGAACAGACCTATAACCACTAAGGAAATTGAAGCAGTCATCAAAAATCTCCCAAAAAACAAAAGCCCAGGGCCAGATGGCTTCCCAGGGGAATTCTACCAAACATTTCAAGAAGAATTAATACCTATTCTTCTGAAACTGTTCCAAAAAATAGAAATGGAAGGAAAACTTCCAAACTCATTTTATGAGGCCAGCATTACCTTGATCCCAAAACCAGACAAAGACCCCATCAAAAAGGAGAATTACAGACCAATATCCCTGATGAACATGGATGCAAAAATCCTCACCAAAATACTAGCCAATAGGATCCAACAGTACATTAAAAGGATTATTCACCATGACCAAGTGGGATTTATCCCTGGGCTGCAAGGTTGGTTCAACATCCGCAAATCAATCAATGTGATACAGTACATTAACAAAGGAAAGAACAAGAATCATATGATCCTCTCAATAGATGCAGAAAAAGCATTTGACAAAGTACAGCATCCTTTCTTGATCAAAACTCTTCAGAGTATAGGGATAGAGGGTACATACCTCAATATCATAAAAGCCATCTATGAAAAACCTACAGCAAATATTATTCTCAATGGGGAAAAACTGAGAGCTTTCCCCCTAAGGTCAGGAACGCGGCAGGGATGTCCACTATCACCACTGCTATTCAACATAGTATTGGAAGTCCTAGCCACAGCAATCAGACAACAAAAAGAAATCAAAGGCATCCAAATCGGCAAAGAAGAAGTCAAACTCTCACTCTTTGCAGATGATATGATACTTTATGTGGAAAACCCAAAAGACTCCACCCCAAAACTGCTAGAACTCATACAGGAATTCAGTCAAGTGGCAGGATATAAAATCAATGCACAGAAGTCAGTGGCATTCCTATACACCAACAACAAGACAGAAGAAAGAGAAATTAAGGAGTCGATCCCATTTACAATTGCACCCAAAACCATAAGATACCTAGGAATAAATCTAACCAAAGAGACAAAGGATCTGTACTCAGAAAACTATAAAATACTCATGAAAGAAATGGAGGAAGACACAAAGAAATGGAAAAACGTTCCATGCTCATGGATTGGAAGAACAAATATTGTGAAGATGTCAATGCTACCTAGAGCAATCTACACATTCAATGCAATCCCCATCAAAATACCATCCACTTTTTTCAAAGAAATGGAACAAATAATCCTAAAATTTGTATGGAACCAGAAAAGACCCCGCATAGCCAGAGGAATATTGAAAAAGAAAAGCAAAGCCGGTGGCATCACAATTCCGGACTTCAAGCTCTATTACAAAGCTGTCATCATCAAGACAGCATGGTACTGGCACAAAAACAGACACATAGATCAATGGAACAGAATAGAGAGCCCAGAAATGGACCCTCAACTCTATGGTCAACTAATCTTCGACAAAGCAGGAAAGAATGTCCAATGGAACAAAGACAGTCTCTTCAACAAATGGTGTTGGGAAAATTGGACAGCCACATGCAGAAGAATGAAACTGGACCACTTCCTTACACCACACACAAAAATAGACTCCAAATGGTTGAAAGACCTCAATGTGAGACAGGAGTCCATCAAAATCCTAAAGGAGAACACAGGCAGCAACCTCTTTGACCTCAGCCGAAGCAACTTTTTCCTAGAAACATCGCCAAAGGCAAGGGAAGCAAGGGCAAAAATGAACTATTGGGACTTCATCAAGATAAAAAGCTTTTGCAAAGCAAAGGAAACAGTTAACAAAACCAAAAGACAACCGACAGAATGGGAGAAGATATTTGCAAATGACATATCAGATAAAGGGCTAGTATCCAAAATCTATAAAGAACTCATCAAACTCAACACCCAAAGAACAAAGAATCCAATCAAGAAATGGGCAGAAGACATGAACAGACATTTTTCCAAAGAAGACATCCAAATGGCCAACAGACACATGAAAAAGTGCTCAATATCGCTCGGCATCAGGGAAATCCAAATCAAAACCTCCATGAGATACCACCTCACACCAGTCAGAATGGCTAAAATGAACAAGTCAGGAAACGACAGATGTTGGCGGGGATGCGGAGAAAGGGGAACCCTCCTACACTGTTGGTGGGAATGCAAATTGGTGCAGCCACTCTGGAAAACTGTATGGAGGTTCCTCAAAAAGTTGAAAATAGAGCTACCATATGATCCAGCAATTGCACTACTGGGTATTTACCCCAAAGATACAAAAGTAGGGATTCGAAGGGGTACATGCACCCCGATGTTTATAGCAGCAATGTCCACAATAGCCAAACTGTGGAAAGAGCCAAGATGTCCATCGACAGATGAATGGATAAAGAAGATGTGGTATATATACACAATGGAATATTATGCAGCCATCAAAAGGAATGAGATCTTGCCATTTGCAACGACGTGGATGGAACTGGAGGGTATTATGTTGAGTGAAATAAGTCAAACAGAGAAAGACATATATCATATGATCTCACTGATATGAGGAATTCTTAATCGCAGGAAACAAACTGAGTGTTGTTGGAGTGGGGGTTGGGGTGGGAGGGATGGGGGGACTGGGTGATAGACACTGGGGAGGGTATGTGCTCTGGTAAGCGCTGTGAATTGTGCAAGACTGTTGAATCTCATATCTGTACCTCTGAAACAAATAATGCAATATATGTTAAGGAAAAAAAAAGAAGAAGAAGAAGGTAGCGGGAGGGGAAGAATGAAGCGGGGGAAATAGGAGGGGTAAACGAACCATGAGAGACGAGGGACTCTGAAAAACAAACAGGGTTCTAGAGGGGAGGGGGGTGGGAGGATGGGTTAGCCTGGTGGTGGGTATTGAGGAGGGCACATTCTGCATGGAGCACTGGGTGTTATGCACAAACAATGAATCATGGAACACTTCATCTAAAACTAATGTTGTAATGTATGGGGATTAACATAAGAATAAAAAAAAGAAAAAAAAATAAAAAAATAAAAAAAATAAATAAATAAATAAATAAAAAAAAAAACAAAAACAAAAACAAAACAAAAAAAACATTTGTCTGGCTCCAGTGGGGGAAAATAAATTAAGGGCAACTAGAAAAAGGTTGGAGAGAAAGGGGGAAAGTAATTTCTATTTTAATTTGGGCTTGGAAGTCCTTCTGAAATACCTAAGAGGAGATATTAAATAAGCTATATGCATTTGGAGCTCAAAGCTGGACTAGAGATAAAAAATGTGAGAGTCCTATGTGGGCCTTACTGTAGATTCAGTTGTTTAGAGACAGAGTATATGATAAGAAAAAAACAAGGTTTTAAGGTTTACTTTGAGGGTGCCATTATTTATAGGATGATAAAATAAGAGAAGCCACAAGAGTGTGGTTACAGAAACCTCGGAATGAAGGAGGAAATGGATAATAGGTTTGGATGCCCGGGAGAGGTTAACTAAAATGAAAACCCGAAAATGGGCAATGAATTTAGTGGCATAAAATCGTTGGTGACACTCATAGGAGACATCACAGTGGACTGATGGTGGTGGGAAGACAGACAAGATGGCTGACACATGCATAGAAGATTCTTAACGACTCTCAAGAAGGTATAAGGGGAGATGAGCCATGAGAGACTATGGACTCTGAGAAACAAACTGAGGGTTCTAGAGGGGAGGGGGTGGGGGGATGGGTTAGCCTGCTGATGGGTATTAAACAGGGCACATACTGAATGAAGCACTGGGTGTTATTCGCAAACAATGAATCATGGGACACTACATCAAAAACTAATGATGTAATGTACGGTGATTAACATAACATAATAAAATCAAAAAGAAAAGAAAGTATGCTATAAGTAGATAAAGGAAAGAGAGACAAGGGATGTATTTGTTTCTTTTATATTGTTCTGCTTTTTTTTATCTTTTTTTTTTTTTTGAGAGAGAGAGAGAGAGAAAGAATGCAAACAGGGGCGGGGTGGGGGAGAAGCAGATGGAGAGGGAGGGAGACAGAATCGTAAGCAGGCTCCATGCTCAGCATGGAGCCCTACATGGGGCTTTATCTCACAACCTTGAAATTATGACAGAAGTCCAAATTGAGAGTCAGATGCTTAGCTGACTGAGCCACCCAGGCACTCCTGCTTTGTATTTAATTGGAGAAAACTGGTCTTATATGGATGTTGATCAGAAAGATCCAAAATAGAGAGAGAGATAAGGTAAAGTTACCGGTGATAAAAAGGATATTCATTAATGAAATTTACAAAAAATAGGAGAAGGTAGATTCCAAGAACAAGGAAAACAGAATCAGAAAGAGGAGAGACACCTCTTCAACTGTAACAGGAGGGAAGGAGACAATGCTGTGTTCTGAAGATAATTTGTAACTTGGATAGTGGCAGGATGAGGGAGTTCCCTGCCACCTGCTAAATTAAATGAAAGCAAATGTCATCTGCTGAGTGTCAGGAGAAGAATGGTGGCAGCAGTTTCAGAAGGGTGAAGGTAATTTGCAACAGCCATTCAGAATTGGAAAATGAGTTGATCAGTGAACCTAGTAAGATTTTTGAGAAATCCAGAGACCCAGCTGAGGTTGGTGATCGTAGTGTAGCAATCCAATTTTCTCTTATGATTTTCTTTGTCTATGGTTTATGTGGAGACACAAAGAAAGCAGGCAGTTGAGTACATCTGAGGTCAGGATTTAATCAGATGACAAATCAAAGCTAGTGGATGGGACAAAGGAAAGGGAGGATGGTCAATGGACTGGACATGCCCAAGAGGCGGGAGAAAGGTCATTAATTAATTGTCTGTTCAATAATAACCTACATAGTGGAAGAAGGGTCAAGAGATGCTCTCAAAAAAAAAAAAACCATGCTTGGAAAGTAGAAGGTTATGGGGTAAGAATAGGATGTTGAGTTCTTAATTTTGGAAGAACAGTTTCATGAAGTTGTATGGTCTTGAGTTTAACTCTGAGAGTAGATGGTTGAAGAGAAATTGAAAAGGATGTTTCTGCAGATAATGAGGTAAAGAAATTGAGAGGCCAAAAGAAAAAATTGAGAGGCCATGCTCTGAAGCAGTCATCACATCAATTCAATACAGTAGGGTTCAATATGATAAATGGTTGTTGAAAACACTTAAGATAATGGCAGAAACTGGGTTAGAAATGAAAAATTATCCAGATGCCAAAAATCTTCAGTGACAGAGCAAATTATCCAGAGGCCAGTGGATGATAAGTAGAGAGAGTTGTCTTGACAGCTTTCATGAGCCCCCAAAAAGCAGTGTTTACAAATTGGAGAAGGAGCAATAATCCGGAAGCCAAAAAAGAGCATGGAAGCTACTATCCCAGTGAGAACAAACTGAACTCAGTAAGGCTGGACATAAAGTAGTATCTTTGGGGGAGAGGCTGAATTTTCATAATACTGGTAGGGTGGTAGCAGAAACTCTATGAGTGAAGGCTGAGGATATAAAGTCTTTGGTGATTGTGAAGCAGTGGAGGCAGGGATTGATATAAAATACAGAACACAATCCTATAGAATAATAGGTAAGAGAGGGTGGACAACATGGGACAGGGGGCAGGAAATAAATGCTACACTTCAGGTATTGACCACTTCAAGAATAAGACTTCAGGGAAGGCCTCCAGGAAAATGGTAGCACATGGCTTAAAATCTGAAGTTCCTGACCTAGTGGGCTTTTAAGTGGCACCAGAAAGTTCAGTCTTGGAATTCTGGAACAAAAGAATCTTAACTAATGAGCTAGTGGCTCACCATCCCCACCACAGCTGACTTGGGATAACGTTTATCATACACGAAATACTACCTCCTACCTTAATTTGTTAATTTGTTAACTAAGGTGAGTGTTCACTCTCAAGGTAAAAGAAAAAAAGTATTAACACTCTTTAAAAACTCTATATCGATCTACCGCCTAGAAAAGCAAGAGGAAGTAATCAAGCATCCTTTGGTAATCAGGAACCTATATAACATTTTGAAGGGAAGTAATTCCTTTAATAGATTTACTACACATTTTGTTGTTTCTCAGTAGAAGTAGTTGAAGGATTTAGTCTATGTTCCATGTCAGCAAGTTTTTAGTCAATTATAATTATTAATTACCAACTGTATTAACCTAAGATTATTCATATATTTAATTTATATTCCATTTCTGTGGTTTGAAATTGCCTGTATGAAAGATCTTATTGTACATGTATCTTGAATTATGGATCATGTAAAAATACTTTTGAGATATAAATCCAGAATTTTCAGAGCTTAAAAAGAATTTGCACATTATTTTTTCCTCTACTTTCTCTTTGTATTCAAGAAAACTGAGGTACAGAGAGGTTCCACCATGAGGGATGGTGTCCAAGTAACTTTAAGAAGAAGAAAAGTGGGACTGAAATCGACACTCTTAAAAGAAAACAACAACAACAAAAGCACACCCTTAATTTCTGCTCATTCCCCATATGGAGGATTTCATCAGCATATTGTGAACAAACAGACATAGCTTGCTCTCTAGCATTTCATTTTTCATTCAACTTTGGCTCCATTCAACCTGTAAATAAAGATTAAAGTACAAAGCCTATGGTAGCCATGCTTTAGTTTCCTTCTATATGAAGGTTGTTTAAAATGCACTCTGAGTAAATTCTCTGGCAGTCAAAAGCTTTCACAGAAGATCCGCGTTATTTTAAGAATGATGTTTTTTTCAACAATCCCTGAAGAACTAGATACTTAAACATTTATTGGTACAAGGTCATTACTTTAGTGAAATAGTTTTAAGTTAACATAAATCAACTTAGCACCTCTGTATATCCCTACTCTAAGGAAGGACAGAGAAATCTGAAGTTGAAGGTCAATTTAATTCTTGCTTGTCTACACTTATTGAGGTAATATTCCAGTTCCCTGCACCTCTATTTTATGTTGGGTGTTTAAGATCAAATGGTGTTGCAAACATTGCTGGAAATGAATACACAAGTGGCAAAGAGACTGAAATGCAATGTGTTAGCTAAACAAGTTGCTTTTGTATTTGATGTGTTCACTAGAAATAAAAATGAAAGAGTCCAAAAGCCATAATTTTCAGTTAAGTACTAAAATTCTCATCAAGAGAAATTCTCCAGGGGGCTTTTGGGACCTGTGTGTATATTACACACACAACTACTCTATGTATTATATTTTGTCAAAGCTTTATGAACAAAGTGGTCTATTGACCACAATCAAAAGGAATTGTGTTTTGAAGTATCTTTCTTTTGTTTTTCAGTGCTGGTAACAGCCTGCCCTGTACCTTCATTTCCATTACTTGTACTTTGTTGAGTTTATTTGTGGGTTAAGTGTTAAAAGCACCTCGAATCATCAAAGAGCTGAAGATGGAATTAAAGGGGTTGTCTGCTTGATATCTGCCCTAGAAAAAAAGTTTTTCTATGCAAAAACTAAAATGCTCCATTCTTGAATTAAACCTTTGCCTTTCGTTTCATAAACACCACTTCATTTAGTCAGATTGTTTAAACTTGAAGGTTTTAATACAGAAAAATAATCCTTTTTAAGTTGCCCCCAGCAAAACTTTCTCAAAAATGCTTTGAGAGAGAAGAAAGGAGAGAAAAAAGATTGTCACCCACTAAAAATACCTATATAATTAGTTGATCTGCATACATAAATGTAGCCCAGAGGAAGAGCTTGGGCTTGCTAACAAAATAGATTTCTACTTAACTGAAATAAGGAGGCTTTCACAAGCAGTTCAAAAATGAAGCAACATTTTTTTTGATTAATTCCCTTGACTAAAACAGTGAAGCAGGACAAAGAGAGAGACATGTTAATTCCGCAAGTTCTAACCAGATACACTAGTGATCTGAGCTTGAGAAATGGGGCTGGAATGCTGTGTGAATTGCAAATCTCTCTTAGCAGAGTCTCCTTGGGGTGTTTCATTTGTCCTCTGCTATGAGTCCTTTGGAAACAATTCTCACACATTCTTTTTCTTCCTTTTCTTTCTTTCTTTCTTTTCTTTCTTTCTTTCTTTCTTTCTTTCTTTCTTTCTTTCTTTCTTTTCTTTCTTTCTTCTTTCTTTCTTTCTTTCTTTCTTTCTTTCTTTCTTTCTTTCTTTCTTTCTTTCTTTCCTTCCTTCCTTCTTTTCTTTCTTTCTTTCTTTCTTCTTTCTTTCTTTCCTTTCTTTCTCTCTTTCTTCCTTCCTTCCTTCTTTCTTTTTCTTTCTTCCTTTCCTTCTTTCTTTCTCTTCCTCTTTCTTTTTCTTCCTTCTTTCTTTCTCTTCCTTTTTCTTTCTTTCTTTCTCTTCCTTTTTCTTTCTTTCTTTCTTTCTTCCTTCTTTCTTTCTCTTCCTTTTTCTTTCTTTTTCTCTTTCTTTCTTTCTTCCTTCCTTCCTTCTTTCTTTCTCTTCCTCTTTCTTTCTTTCTTCCTTCCTTCCTTCCTTCCTTCCTTCCTTCCTTCTCTTCCTCTTTCTTTCTTTCTTTCTTTCCTTTCTTTCTCTCTCTTTCTTCCTTCCTTCCTTCTTTCTTTTTCTTTCTTCCTTTCCTTCTTTCTTTCTCTTCCTCTTTCTTTCTTTTTCTTCCTTCTTTCTTTCTCTTCCTTTTTCTTTCTTTCTTTCTTTCTTTCTTTCTTTCTTTCTTTCTTTCTTCTTTCTTTCTCTTCCTTTTTCTTTCTTTCTTTCTTCCTTCTTTCTCTTCCTTTTTCTTTCTTTTTCTCTTTCTTTCTTCCTTCCTTCTTTCTTTCTCTTCCTTTCTTTCTTTCTTTCTTCCTTCCTTCCTTCCTTCCCTTTTTCTTTCTTTCTTTCTTTCTTTCTTTCTTTCTTTCTTTCTTTCTTTCTTTCTTTCTTTCGAGTATAGCTGACACACAATGTTACATTAATTTCAGGTGTACAACTTAGTGATTTGACAAGTTTACACCTATGCCTTGTCCACCACAGGTGTAGTTGCCATCTGTCCTGATACATCACTGTTACAATATCATTGAAATCTTAAAGGCTGATATTGAAATGAGGGACACAATGGGATTTTTTTTTTTTTTGAAATCTGTTGTAAATTGCTTTAAACACAGCTGCTTTGCCAAACTATAGGGTTTCATCAGCATCAACTCTAAGCAGATGATAAATATTAAAAAAAAAAAAAAGTAACAGCCTCAATGCTTGCTTAAAACAGCTTCTTTTTATTCCCTACTGTTTCCACTTCCACTCGGCTTCTTTTTATTCCCTACTGTCTCCACTCCCACTCTGCTTTGGCGATCTTCACAATATTCCAAAATATAGTGAAGATAAAAAGGGGACTATTGTGTTGGCAGCTCTGGAGAAGTGAGAAGGCAGATTTGAGTCAGATGGCAAGGGGAGAAGAAATTCCACCCGAGAGATGGGAAACATCGACTTTATCTTAGCAGGATGTTCAGCAAGTTGTGCATTAAGAAATGCGAAGAGAAACCAAATGAGCATTGTGGACTAAGAAACTTGGTTGCTAACAGTAGGTTGATGCCAAAGACACACAGCATCTCTTGACCCTTCTTTCCACTATGTGGGTTATTACTGAACAGACAATTATGTTTAGGATGGGGAGAAAAACAAATGCTTAAGCATGTAAATTGATTGCCGAGAATGCAAATATTTCCATTCTGCTTTGCTAAGGCCATTAAACACACACACGGGGAAAAAAGCTGCTTTTTCACAAATTAATTTTTCTCCTCTAGACTGTGCAGTTTCCAGTCCAACATCTGTTACCTTTGTTAGTCTGTGAGCTGCCAGAGATTGTTCTTTTTTAAAGGCCTGTCTAGAGAAATGTGAAATTTATAACTTTAACTCTTTGAATGTTATATAATTTTTAAGTCTATATTTCTTATTTAAGGAACGAGGTCATTTTAGGGACAATGCTGGCAATCTATTTGAAGGAAAGATGTAATCCTGTCCTCTTGTATCACTTAGAGCTTGGGAAAGAATAATAGAAGACAATGTGCTTAATGTATTTTTTTGTGTGTTATGAGTTACTTAGTGCCAAACATCTCTGAGAAGAGTAAGCATGCGTATCAACCTAGCACCACATATAAAAGGTCTCACCAAATAATGATGTCAAATGATGTTATTATGTTAAAACAAAATAAATAATAATTATAATACAAAAGGGGCAAGGGGCAAGGAAAGAACCTTCAGGAGAGAGGGGTCTATAGGATAGCAGCAAGTCAAAGCTCCTTGGGGTATGAGGACAGTAAAATTTTACATGACTGGAAAGTGATTTCTGGAAGAATATGGCTAATAGATTTGGGCTGGCAGCTGAACTGTTCAGAACTATTCAGAATTGAACTACTCCTAAAAAGTCGAGGGTAAAAGCAAGGGGAAAGGAAAGAAATGACTCACAGTTTCTGGATGCTGTGAGGTTACCATCAGGCAAAGCATTTACGATGATCCGAAAGATTCAACAGAGACACAACCTGGTTATTCCATTTCCATATGCCTTTTCCTGTCATCTTTTTGGTCTATTTCTTCCAGCCTGCCAGCTTCCTGACTAACTTAGAGCTTACCTGGTGAACAGGCTGAGTTTGGATTCATTCATTATTTGTCTTAGGTAATACATTTTGTTCCAACTATGTGCAAGGTGCGGTTTGACATCCAAATAATGTATCACCTGTGGCTCTGGTTATAAAAAATTTACGCCAGTTATTCTAAAAGAAGTAACACAGTATGGCTTTGAGAGAAAGCCTCTGAATGTAAGTCAGAATCGAGAGTCCCAGCCTGGACTCAGTCACACAGGAGACATGTGATCTGGAGAACGTTACAACCTTCCAGGGTGTCCGCATGCAAATTTACAAAATAAAGGGGAAAGATGAGATAAAAATGTGAAAAACCTGAAGATTCAAAACTTCTATGATTCCGGAATATTTATTCAAGTAATATATTTGCAAGAGAAACCAAGACATTCATTATGAAAAGAAAGCCATTGACTGCAGACTGAGAATATTCCTGACAGTCCTGTGGCCTTGAAAAAAATCACTGATTCCACAGATTACATTAGCTCTGTTGTTTTCACTGCATATGGTTCTGCTGACCTTGACTGATGGCAGTTCAAATTAAAGTGTGCATACAAGAATCTTCATAGGGAAGCCCAGTAGACCTCCAATATTTGTGACATTATGGAAGATTGTCTAGCACTCAAGGAAGGAGAACCAGGTTCTAGCCCTCATGACCACATAACGAAAGTATGATTTGAGGTCAGACACTTAACCTATCATGAATAAACACAATTCTTTACTTGTTGGAATACAGCTGGCTATACTAGAAGTCTATTCTAATTCCAAACTCTGATTCTTAGGTCACTCAACTTCCCCCTTGCTTCTCTTTCCAGTTTTGTTACAACCAAATGACTTGGCAAAGATGAGTAGGTTGGTTTGGTATGCCTAAAGAACATGTTGTTTCATTACACTTACCACTTTTCTTCCCCCAACTTCTAATCCTTACAACTGTCTCTATTGAACTGCAGAGAAAAAGAAATCTCAGTGAAGTCATTGCATACTCCGATAAATATCAAAGTAAGTACAGGTGAGCCACACAATGGGCAACATGGAAGTGTCCCAAGGAGAAATATACCAACTTCTTCCTGTTCTATTGTAATAACTTCACACCAATGTCAGGATCAGAAAATCTACCCCTGGTTGAAGTTGATAACTCTGTATCCATTACTGATGCTGAAAGCTGTAATGGGGGCAAACTTGGAAATTAGTTTACAATTTTGTAGGCTTATATAACAAGTTCAAAAACCCCAGCTCACAAATCAAACAGGACAAAAAAATTCTAGGTTAAAGAAGAGAATGCTATGCTTGCTTTTATAGTTATATCTACTGATTCCTGATGAACCAAGAAAGTAAAAATTTATATCCAAGAATATGTGATTAATTTTACACAGACCATTTTTTATTATCACTTAGACTTTTCTGAAATTCAATTATGGTAGTAAACCTAACACACTTGCATTATTTTCCATTTCCTTACTCTGTTCATTCTCGTATCAATACATTCCCACAGCACCTGCTATTCTTATAATCTATTCTGAGAATAAGGTATCAGTACAACATCTTTAAACATTCTTTTTTTTGAATGGCTGTCCATTTTGATCCGTTCTCATTGTTTGTCAGAGATGTAATTGGTAGAACTCCTCAAGCAGTGATTCAAATTAGAGATAAATGGAAAGGTCAGAATGAGATAGTTTGTTTATTTATATTATTATTTGCCAAGGAAGTAGGCCATTGAAATCTGGGTGTTTCATCCTAATGATAAGGAACAAAATGACAGTATAAATGAATTGAAGGCCCCTTTGAGGGCTCACATTAGAAGGTCTGGCTGTGTTTCCTCAGACCTAGCTTGCCATTAAAACTCACAGGAGTTATGCCATTGTATTTAACAATGCTACACACTCACACTCACCCTTGCCATTTCTGTTCCAACTTCCCTTGTCATTACCACTTCAAAATAACTCCATGTGTGTATCTTTTTTCTACAAGACATTCCACATATTTTAAATATATATATATTTCAATCACATTTAGTTATCTTGCCAAAAATAATCAAAGGAAGTGTGTTTATAAAGAAGTACCATAATACCCTGCATTTTTTCATTGATGTCATTTTCTTTTATATTCTAAAATTTTATCTAAATATTCTATTTTATTTTTCTTTCTTTTTAAAAAATTAACATATAATGTATTATTTGTTTCAGGGGTACAGGTCTGTGATTCATCAGTCTTACACAATTCACAGCACTCACCATAGCACATACCCTCCCCAATAAAATATTTTAATTATTTTCTTTTTAGGTCAATTTACCTTAGCAATATTTCAGAGTCAGTTGGTCTTAACATTTATTCACCCACCTGTTGAAGGCAGCAATTCAGAAATTATAGGGTAAAAGCCTGTGGCATGCCAGAGACAATATGATAAAGCACTGGGAAATTTTAAGAATAAAACAAGAGTGGCGTAGACCGGTCTTCTAAATGTAATGATAGGAATAGTTTGTGGGGGTAAAAAAACAGAGTCTATGTTCAGCATTTCCCTCCACTTGAGGTTTTCAAAGGACAATTTTCATGAACCTTCACTAGTATAAGGTTTTCTGTCAAACACAAGGCTACACTGGTTTCACCATGAGTTTCTTCCATGTATATACTTTTACTTAGTTTAATATTTGATTTATTTCATAATATCTCATTCAAAATTAATAAACTGTTTTAACTTCTGATTTCTTAGGTAGGCTAGTCAACTACTTCAGATATAGTGGTAAAACCTCATATACACAGGTTTTTTTCATTGTTCTGGCTATAAGCATACATATAAAGAAAAACACTTTTAAATCAGACCATTTTTTAAATAAAATACATATCTCAAACATATTTCTTGGAAGCTGAAAACTCCTCCTTCTCCTACTTGCTAAATTTTCAAGATATGGTGTTTCTCAAGGAATAGAAATTTTGCTTTTGAAGGAACTGGAATAAATCATTTTATTAGAAGTTAGTAAGCATCTTGGGAAGAGAATGAGTCCCAGCATCATATTTTCCTTAACAAACACCCCCAAATAATACATATATTCTGGTATTATCATAAAAGGATGAGAAAGAGAAAAGAGAGTAAAGAGGAAGAAATATGAGTTTGCCTCTCTCCTCTGTGTTTTTAGGTAGATTTTAAGTAATATCTTTTTATAACTGAAGAACAGACAAGAGCAAAGAACTTCCTTCTCAAGGATACTGCGGCAAGTTTATTCAATCACTCATCATCCCACTCATGCATTCATTCATCCCACCAGTCACTCACTCCCTTATTCATTGATCCATGCTTTCAAGAGAGGAGGCTGCATCTTTTCTCTTGAAGAAAATGTCATGCTGCTACAGCATAGTTTTGATAGCAAACAATTTCAATCTCTGATTGGGGCCAGTGCTTCATGAGCAGATTTTTCTGATTCCTATAACCCTGTTCCAATAGCTTAGGGACAGTTGGGCAATACTCTTTCTTTTTTGTTTCCATGAACAATTTTACCCAGAACATCACAGCAAATCCTAATAACAATGTGCAGAGAGGCAATGAGTAAGCTGAGGAAAAAGGGCTGGCCAGGAGTCAGGAGACCTTTGGTTCAGTCCCTCTCCATTAATTCAAAGTCTTCAGATACTCAGATGCCAAAGTAGAGTCCATAATGGTTTCTTCTGGAACACCTTTGGTTTGTTTTCCTCTTCCCTAAAGTACTCTCTTCTTCTGGAATGAGCTATATCTAAAGAATAGTGACATTTAGAGATATAGCAGCACACTTTCTCTAGAACAAATGAAAGAAACAAGGTCCGTTTTAAAAATGTTTTATCTGGAAGTCATATGGGAGCATTATAGAAATGTGACATTGATTTAGGTGGGTTTCCTAAGAGCAGAGCAAGTGGGTGCTCTTAAGTGAAACCCATAAGGAAATGAGGGAAGCAGGATAGAGGAGGGGGAGAAGCTAAGCAAGGATGCTCTCCCAGGTGTGAGTCTAGCCTCAGCCTTATCCCTTGGGGAGCTAAGAAGCAGATATGGTACTATCAAGTGATCCATCTTTATAGTAAGAGGGCTGGTCTTTTATACCTTATGTCAATCATTCATTTGCTGTTGACTGCCCCTAGAAGAAGGGAATATTCTCCAAGGAATTTCTAGTCAAGCTAGCTCCCTGCTGTTAAAAAGTAATTCTAGGGTGTTCTAAAGTTGCTTCTTTTTAAATAAAATCAATACAGAAATGTTTTTAAATTTGAAAAACCTTGATTTTGGATATAAAATGGAAGTTTCCCTTCTTTTTCCATTTCTGGCATATCTAAAATTATAGAAATGAAAGCAATGTTTTAATATCATATTCTAAAACTTTTTAAGTAACTCTCTGAAATCTCATAAATTCAAATTCAATGTGGCAAACAATGACAGATACTTTCACCTATGATATATGCACTCTCTTATAAAAGAAAAAATACGCATTTACTGATTAAGGTAAAAGTAAAGATTAGTTGAAATAATGAATATCTTCAAACTAAAATATATTAACAAATTGACTATTCCTTTAATTCATGAAGTTTTTATTCAGTAAGTTAAAGTAGGAAGAATGGATTATGATGTCCCTTTTTGATGTTTTGTGCTAATTGATTTCATTACTTTTAAGAGTACTGGTCCTTGGGGGGCGGAGCAAGATGGCAGAGGAGTAGGAGACCTGGATTTCATCTCCTCTCAGGAATTCAGCTGGATAGGGATCAAACCATTCTGAACACCTACAAACTCACAGGAGTTCGAAGAAAATAATAACAACAACTCTCTCATCAGAAAAGCAACCACTTTCTGGAAGGTAGGACGTGCGGAGAAGTGAATCCGAGGCGATATTCGGGGGGATAGACGGCGGGGGAGGGGCCTCTGTCGGCTGCTTCTGGCAAGTGATAGAACCACGGAGCACAAAATTGGAACTTTTAAAAGTCTGCTCCGCTGAGGGACGTCACTCTGGTGGCTAAGCGGGGGTGGAACCCTCCAGGAGAGTGGGGTCTCAGGACCCTCGGGGTCACAGAAAGACCGGGGGTGCCTGAGTGTGGCAGAGCTCCCAGGTAATGGAACAGGGAAGCCAGCTGCAGAGGCGGAACCCAGGCACGGGCTCTCAGCTTGGGGTTGCCATAAACCGTGATCCGTGGCACAGTCGGGCCCCTGCTCCTCCAGCAGGGACCCAACAAGCGGCAGATCCGGGGAGACTCACCTTCCTCCCCTGGGAGGAGCCGCGCGGGAGCGCACCGCAGGGATCTGCTGGGTTTGGAGACTCCACCTGGAGTCAGGTGCCAGAGATAGAAACGCGCGGTCACAGGTTGGGTGAGCACAGAGTGTGGCCGGAGACCCAGGAGACGGGAGTGACTGACAGCTTTTCTCTGGGGGCTCACTGAGGAGCGGGGACCGAGTTCTCGGCTCCTCCGGGGCAGAGATTGGGAGGCCACCATTTTTACTCTCCACCTCCAAAGCTGTACGGAAAGCTCGCAGGGAACAAAAGCCCTGGAGAGCAAACCCGAGCAGATTACTTAGCCGGGAGGGGGCAAGGGGGGGCAATTCCGCCTCTGGCAAAGACATTTGGGAACCACGGCAACAGGCCCCTCCCCCAGAAGATCAGCGAGAACAGCCAGCCAAGACCACGTTTACCGATCAATGAGAATGGCAGAACTCCGGCGCTAGGGGAATACTGCACATAGAATAGGCTTTTTTACCATGATTCTTTAGTCTTTCAAAGTTAAGTGTTATTTAACTGTCTTTTTTTCTTTTTCTTTTTTTTTCTTTTTCTTTTTCCCTTTTTCAACCAACATCTTATCAATCCCTTCTTTAATAAATATTTTTATTTTTCATTTTTAGAGTCATATTCTATCCCATCATAGTAGTTACCCGTATTTTTGGCATATATATATAAGTTGTTCTCTCTTTAAAATTTTGAGATAGTTTCTTCTAACAGATCAAAATATACCCTAAATCTCTAGTATATGGTTTTTTCTACTGCCCTGTCTGATCACATTCTCTCCCTTTTTGTTCTTTTTTCTTTTTTTAAATCCTCTTCTTTCTTTTTTCAAACAACTTCTTATCAATTCCTTTTATAAAATTTTTTATAATTTCCATCTTTACACTCATATTCCATCCCTTCATCATATTAACCCTTATTTTTGTACATATATAAGTTTTTCTTTCTTTAAAATTTTGGGAGGCACTTTCTTCTAACAGACCAAAATACACCCAAAATATAGTGTGTGGCACTGATCTATATACCAGCCTGATCATATTTGATCCCATTCTGGTTTTTTTTGTTGTTGTTGTTTTGTTTTGTTTGTTTTTATCTTTCTCTTTTTCTTTTTTCTCCCTTTCCCTTTCTTTTTCCCCTGCTTCAGGTCTTTTCTGATTTGTTTAGAGCACATTTTGTGGGGACGTGGTTATTCTGCTAGCATTTTGTTCTCTCATTAATCTATTGTCCTCTGCACAAAATGACAAGATGGAAAAAATCACCTCAACAAAAAGAACAAGAGGTAGTACCGAATGCCAGGGACCTACTCAATACAGACATTAGTACGATGTCAGATCTAGAGTTCAGAATCATCACTTTAAAGATACTAGCTGGGCTTGAAAAAATCATGGAAGTTATTAGAGAAACCCTTTCTGGAGAAGTAAAAGAACTAAAATCTAACCAAGTAGAAATCAAAAAGGCTATTAATGAGGTGCAATCAAATATGGGGGCGCTAACTGCTAGTATAAATGAGGCAGAAGAGAGAATCAGTGATATAGAAGACCAAATGATGAAAAATAAAGAAGCTGAGAAAAAGAGAGATAAACAACTATTGGATCATGAGGGCAGAATTCGAGAGATAAGCGATACCATAAGACGAAACATTAGAATAATTGGGATCCCAGAAGAAGAAGAAAGAGAGAGAGGGGCAGAAGGTATGATGGAGCAAATTATAGCAGAGAACTTCCCTCATTTGGGGAAGGAAACAGGCATGAAAATCCAGGAAGCACAGAGAACCCCTCTTAAAATCAATAAAAATAGGTCAACACCCCGACATCTAATAGTAAAACTTACGAGTCTCAGAGACAAAGAGAAAATCTTGAAAGCAGCTCAGGAGAAGAGATATGTAACCTACAAGGGTAGAAACATTAGATTGGCAACAGACCTATCCACAGAGACCTGGCAGGCCAGAAAGGACTGGCAGGATATATTCAGAGCACTAAATGAGAAAAATATGCAGCCAAGAATACTATATCCAGCTAGGCTGTCATTGAAAATTGAAGGAGAGAGAAAAAGCTTCCAGGACAAACAAAAACTAAAGGAATTTGCAAACACAAAACCAGCTCTACAAGAAATCTTGAAAGGGGTCCTCTAAGCAAAGAGAGACCCTAAAAGCAACATAGACCAGAAAGGAACACAGACAATATATGGTAACAGTCACCTTACAGGCAATACAAAGGCACTAAATTCCTATCTTTCAATAGTTACTCTGACTGTAAATGGGCTAAATGCCCCAATCAAGAGACACAGGCTATCAGACTGGATTAAAAAACAAGACCCATTGATATGCTGTCTGCAAGAGACTCATTTTAGAACCAAAGACACCCCCAGATTGAAAGTGAGGGGGTGGAAAAACATTTACCATGCTGGGGTGGCAATCCTTATATCAGACCAATTAGATTTTAAACCAAAGCGTGTAATAAGAGATGAGGAAGGACAATATATCCTACTTAAAGGGTCTATCCAACAAGAAGATCTAACAATTGTAAATATCTATGCCCCTAACATGGGAGCAGCCAATTATATAAGGCAATTAATAACAAAACAAAGAGGGGCGCCTGGGTGGCTCAGTTGGTTAAGCGACTACCTTCGGCTCAGGTCATGATCCTGGAGTCCTGGGATCGAGTCCTGCATCGGGCTCCCTGTTCGGCGGGGAGTCTGCTTCTCCCTCTGACCCTCCTCCCTCTCATGCTCTCTGTCTCTCATTCTCTCTCTCTCAAATAAATAAATAAATAAAATCTAAAAAATAAAAATAAAAAAAAATAACAAAAGCAAAGAAACACATCGACAACAATACAATAATAGTGGGGGACTTTAACACCCCCCTCACTGAAATGGACAGATCATCTAAGCAAAAGATCAACAAGGAAATAAAGACTTTAAATGACACACTGCACCAAATGGACTTCACAGACATATTCAGAACATTCCATCCCAAAGCAACGGAATACACATTCTTCTCTAGTGCCCATGGAACATTCTCCAGAATAGATCACATCCTAGGTCATAAATGAGGTCTCAACCGGTACCAAAAGATTGGGATCATTCCCTGCCTATTTTCAGACCACAATGCTTTGAAACTAGAACTCAATCACAAGAAGAAAGTCGGAAAGAACTCAAATACATGGAGGCTAAAGAGCACCCTACTGAAGAATGAATGGGTCAACCAGGAAATTAAAGAAGAATTAAAAAAAATCATGGAAACCAATGAAAATGAAAACACAACTATACAAAATCTTTGGGATACAGCAAAGGCAGTCCTAAGAGGAAAGTAGATAGCAATACAAGCCTTTCTCAAGAAACAAGAAAGGTCTCAAGTACACAACCTAACCCTACACCTAAAGGAGCTGGAGAAAGAACAGCAAATAAAGTCTAAACCCAGCAGGAGAAGAGAAATAATAAAGATCAGAGCAGAAATCAATGAAATAGAAACCAAAAGAACAGTAGAACAGATCAACGAAACTAGGAGCTGGTTCTTTGAAAGAATTAACAAGATTGATAAACCCCTGGCCAGACTTATCAAAAAGAAAAATGATCCAAATCAACAAAATCATGAATGAAAGAGGAGAGATCACAACCAACACCAAAGAAATACAAACAATTCTAAGAACATATTATGAACAACTCTATGCCAGCAAATTAGATAACCTGGAAGAAATGGATGCATTCCTAGAGATGTATCAACTACCAAAACTGAACCAGGAAGAAATAGAAAACCTGAACAGACCTATAACCACTAAGGAAATTGAAGCAGTCATCAAAAATCTCCCAAAAAACAAAAGCCCAGGGCCAGATGGCTTCCCAGGGGAATTCTACCAAACAGTTAAAGAAGAATTAATACCTATTCTTCTGAAACTGTTCCAAAAAATAGAAATGGAAGGAAAACTTCCAAACTCATTTTATGAGGCCACCATTACCTTCATCCCAAAACCAGACAAAGACCCCATCAAAAAGGAGAATTACAGACCAATAACCCTGATGAACATGGATGCAAAAATTCTCACCAAAATACGAGCCAATAGGATCCAACAGTACATTAAAAGGATTATTCACCACGACCAAGTGGGATTTATCCCTGGCTGCAAGGTTGGTTCAACATCTGCAAATCAATCAACGTGATACAATACATCAACAAAAGAAGGAACAAGAATCATATGATCCTCTCAATAGATGCAGAAAAAGCTTTTGACAAAGTACAGCATCCTTTCTTGATCAAAACTCTTCAGAGTATAGGCATAGAGGGTACATACCTCAATATCATAAAAGCCATCTATCAAAAACCTACAGCGGATATCATTCTCAATGGGGAAAAACTGAGAGCTTTCCCCCTAAGGTCAGGAACGCCGCAGGAATGTCCACTATCACCACTGCTATTGAACATAGTATTGGAAGTCCTAGCCACAGCAATCAGACAACAAAAAGAAATCAAAGGCATCCAAATCGGCAAAGAAGAAGTCAAACTCTCACTCTTTGCAGATGATATGATACTTTATGTTCAAAACCCCAAAGACTCCACCCCAAAACTGCTAGAACACATACAGGAATTCAGTAAAGTGGCAGGATATAAAATCAATGCACAGAAGTCAGTGGCATTCCTATACACCAACAACAAGACAGAAGAAAGAGAAATTAAGGAGTCATCCCATTTACAATTGAACCCAAAACCATAAGATACCTAGGAATAAATCTAACCAAAGAGGCAAAGGATCTGTACTCAGAAAACTATAAAATACTCATGAAAGAAATTGAGGAAGACACAAAGAAATGGAAAAACATTCCATGCTCATGGATTGGAAGAACAAATATTGTGAAGATGTCAGTGCTACCTAGAGCAATCTACACATTCAATGCAATCCCCATCAAAACACCATCCACTTTTTTCAAAGAAATGGAACAAATAATCCTAAAATTTGTATGGAACCAGAAAAGACCCCGCATAGCCAGAGGAATGTTGAAAAAGAAAAGCAAAGCCGGCGGCATCACAATTTCGGACTTTCAGCTCTATTACAAAGCTGTCATCATCAAGACAGCATGGTACTGGCACAAAAACAGACACATAGATCAATGGAACAGAATAGAGAGCCCAGAAATGGACCCTCAACTCTATGGTCAACTCATCTTTGAGAAAGCAGGAAAGAACGTCCAATGGAAAAAAGATAGTCTCTTCAACAAATGGTGTTGGGAAAATTGGACAGCCACATGCAGAAGAATGAAATGGGACCATTTCCTTACACCGCACACAAAAATAGACTCCAAATGGTTGAAAGACCTCAATGTGAGACAGGAGTCCATCTAAATCCTAAAGGAGAACACAGGCAGCAATCTCTTTGACCTCAGCTGAAGCAACTTCTTCCTAGAAACATGGCCAAAGGCAAGGGAAGCAAGGGCAAAAATGAACTATTGGGACTTCATCAAGATAAAAAGCTTTTGCAAAGCAAAGGAAACAGTCAACAAAACCAAAAGACAACCGACAGAATGGGAGAAGATTATTTGCAAATGACATATCAGATAAAGGGCTAGTATCCAAAATCTATAAAGAACTCATCCAACTCAATACCCAAAGAACAAATGATCCAATCAAGAAATGGGCAGTAGACATGAACAGACATTTTTCCAAAGAAGACATCCAAATGGCCAACAGACACATGAAAATGTGCTCAATATCGCTTGGCATCAGGGAAATCCAAATCAAAACCTCCATGAGATACCACCTCACACCAGTCAGAATGGCTAAAATTAACAAGTCAGGAAACGACAGATGTTGGCGGGGATGCGGAGAAAGGGGAACCCTCCTACACTGTTGGTGGGAATGCAAGCTGGAGCAGCCACTCTGGAAAACAGTATGGAGGTTCCTCAAAAAGTTGAAAATAGAGCTACCACATGATCCAGCAATTGCACTACTGGGTATTTACCCCAAAGATACAAAAGTAGGGATCTGAAAGGGTACGTGCACCCCGATGTTTATAGCAGCAATGTCCACAATAGCCAAACTGTGGAAAGAGCCAAGATGTCCATCGACAGATGAATGGATAAAGAAGAGTGGTATATATATACAATGGAATATTATGCAGCCATCAAAAGGAATGAGAGCTTGACAATTGCAACGATGTGGATGGACCTGGAGGTTGTTCTGCTGAGCGAAATAAGTCCAACAGAGAAAGACATGTATCATATGACCTCACTGATATGAGGAATTCTTAATCTCAGGAAACAAACTGAGGGTTGCTGAAGTGGGGGGTGGGGTGGGAGGGATGGGGTGACTGGGTGATAGACACTGGGGAGGGTATGTGCTCTGGTAAGTGCTGTGAATTGTGCAAGACTGTTGAATCTCAGATCTGTACCTCTGAAACAAATAATGCAATATATGTTAAGAAAAAAAAAAAAGAAGAAGAAGAAGAAGGTAGCAGGAGGGGAAGAATGAAGGGCGGGAAATCGGAGGGGTAGATGAACCATGAGAGACAATGGACTCTGAAAAACAAACTGAGGATTCTAGAGGGGAGGGGTGTAGGAGGATGGGTTAGCCTGGTGATGGGTGTTGAGGAGGGCACATTCTGTATGCAGCACTGGGTGTTATGCACAAACAATGAATCATGGAACACTACATCTATAACTAACGATGTAATGTATGGGGATTAACATAAGAATAAAAAAAAGAGTACTGGTCCTTATTTTAGCACAGAGTTTGTGTCTTTACTGATGGGGTATGATAATAATCTTTACTTAGAACTATAAAATTGTGATTTATAATACCTAATATTCAGTTAATTATTAATACAATGTTAAACTTAATTTTCATTTTATTTTTTAAGATTTATTTATTTATTTTTTAGAGAGCGATCGTGTGTGAGCGACGGCAGGGCAGAGGAAAAGAATCCCAAGCAGACTGCCTGCTGAGAGGGGAGCCTCACAAGGGGATAGATCTCAGGACCCTGAGATCATGACCTGAGCTGAAACAAAGAGTAGAACGCTTAACCGACAGAGCCATCCAGGGCCCCAAACTTCAATTCCATTTAAAAAGAAATAGTTAAATTACTAATGACTTAATACTTATGTTGGATAAGGCTTTTACTATTTTTTGTTGATAGCAGAGGACATTTGAATCAATTTTGAAAATGTAATTGCCATGTTTTATTTTCATGGTGATTCTAAATGTAATTATTAAAATAGCATAAATATTTTAAAAATAATAATAATAATAGTAATCCTAGGGTAACCAACAGGCTCTATTAAGGATTTCATTAGGTCATCTTACAGTCCATTATAGGGGTAATAAAAAATATTATAGAAAAAAATTATTCCTAGCTGATACGTGAGTTCTCTAGCTTGCTCTGAAAAGGATGACCTCTCAGCATCAACATCAACATAATACTCTTGAGGACAATCCTCTGCCTAATTTGCACAGTAAGTCCAGCGTTTAGCAGAGTGTGATGCTAAGTGGACAACCTGGGAAATGATTTTACTCTTCCAGATACCATTTCTTCTTTTATAAAATATAAAACTCCTCCTAAGCTCCCTCTAATTTATCCATTAAAGCAAGTTGGCTTAAGATCTCAAATTGGCCTCTGATCTTTTCTTTTGCCTTCCCTTCTGCCTTTAAGAACACTTGTAATTGCTTTGAACTAATACAGATAATCCAGGATAATCCCCCAATTTAAGGTCAGCTGATTAGAAACTTTAACTGTCCTTTGTCACTTAACATAATATCTTCATAGCTTCTGGGGACATCTTTGGGGGGCCTACCAGAGTCATAAACAGAAGAGATATATCCTTATAATTACTAAATTTGTAATCTAGTTGGCTGAGAGAGAGATACAGGTAAGGCAAGTAAACAACTAGTCAAAAGAATGACTATAAGTAATGATGATACTTGTAAAAGAAATAAACCAGATAAACTGTTAAGACATTAAAAGTGAGGGTGTATAGATAGGCAGGGTAGATATCACTAAAGAGGTGACATTAAAAAATGAGATACAAAAGAGGTGATTGATGTTCATGTGAATAGCACACAAGGTAAAAACAGTAAAGGCTGAGAAATGGGAATGAAGAATAGCTTTCCAGACTGTAGGCACTACACTACAAAGTTCAAAAGGTAAAAAGAGAAGTTGGCTTATTTGATGAACCACAGAGAGCCCACAGAGTTGCAGTATAATGGGCTTGGGGGAGGGTAGAAGGTGATAATCTTGGAATAGTGACCAGGGTCGTATCACTTCGATAAGAACCTGGCTTTTATTGGAAAGGCCATGGAAAGTTGGTAACAGATTTAAAACAAAGGGTTATTGTTA